TGATCAATAAAATGTATTGAGATGACATCTCTGCCATTTTTCATATCTTTTAGCAATGAACAGTAGGGTTGCACATAAAAAATATCAATGAACTCTACAGAAAACAAAAAATCACCAAATGCATAGGACCAGAACCATGTGAAACCTGTGAATTTAGGCTAAGTATGCATTACCATGTCTTTGGTGCTATGGGTGGATGCCTTGCAGCCTTCCCATTTCACCATGACACTAAATTTCTGCCCTCATAGAAATGCATGCTGATTTATAGACCTGCTTTACTCTTGCTCTGCTGTCTCAACCTAGAGACATCACTCACAAATGCAGGGAGAAGCAAAACTGCTGCAGACCAAATGAGATACAAAGGTTATAACCTTGTTATAACCCAGTTAAAACTTTGAAAATTATTTTACAATTGATAATAGCAAGGAAAAATGTTTTCTGTGGTATCAAGCTGCAAATTTAATCTAATCCTAGAAATTAAAACAGCCACTACTGGATTAGAATCACAGGGAGAATTAGAATCACTTACAGTAGGCTTCTTGCCTTCTTTGAGCAATGTTTTTCTTCTTAATGGCCCTTCCATGGTAATAACTCCTGTGGAACTACCTAATGTGCAGCTGCAGGCCCCTGTTGGGCTGGAGAGACAAAACATTGCCATACGTATTTGAGCAGACAAGTAAGGACAAGAAGCAAGCAATATAATTTAGAGCTAAATAAATTTTTCCTGCATTGCCTTACTTATATTGTGTCATCTGACACTTGACTCTATAATATGTATTTTCCAGATCTAGGTATCAAATAGGAATCAGGATCTTTGAAAAATAACAAATCAACAAAAGGTTCTATTCTGGGGGCTTAGACATAAAAAAAATAAAACAAAACAATAAATATTGAGGCCCAAAATCAAAGGGAAAACAGGCAATTTTCTATTTTATTCTGGTAAATTACAGAAATTATCTGGATTTCTGGAAATTTATGGCTTAAAATTTTGGCAATAAGACCTCCCACAAATGTAATTTAATCTTAAAATAAACTTTAGCTATCAAAAAGGAATATAGGAAATTACCTTGGCTAATTAGAAAAAGGTTGGGGAAATTATATAACAATGCCAAATAATTTATTGTACAGTGATTAAAATATTTTTTCCTTTCCCAGGATGAACATAGAGCTTCTCCTCATACAACAGTGAAAAAGTGCTACAACTGAAAGAACCCAAGTACAGGCTACGTTTGAAATGTAAATAGCTGTTAAGAACATAACAACCAGACTGACTGTTAGGTGATGATCTGTTGGACTTATCTGCTGCTAACCTCTGTTCACTGTTATGTGATCACAGCCCTTATATTCTCATAAATATAAGGGCCAACTAAAGTTAAGTTTACCAGGGCCAACTAAATCACATCTAATAATGAATACAAGGAAAAGCACGTGATGACCTACCACTCAGTTGTTAAAGGATTTAACATTTAACATTCACCATTCTATGAACAAGTATGAGGGTGTCATCTAAACACACACTAGTGAAAGTGATATACAAAGCAATACCACCTATGCAAGAACAGAACTTCAATTCAATTAAATGGAATTGCCTCGTCTGTGCTAATGTGTATTCTTGACAAATCTAGTTTTCTGATAGAAGCAGTAGAAAATTCCAGAAAAGGAAGAATGAATGCAAGCATTAGAATTACTTGACCATAGATAAATGTAAGAAATGTATTTTGGAGTATAATTATTCTTGTGGATTTAATAGGCTTTTCACATTTTTATCTTCTTCTATTTTGTATTCCTAGATTGTAAACATTTTTGAAACAGATCTACCATGGAAAATGTTAAGAGAATCTTTTCCAGAATCAGGTATAATAGCTGAAATACTGTTCCTTTACTTATTTATAATGCATGTGTTTTCATTCCTGTCTAACTACTTCTAACTTGTGCGGCTATCAGATGTTATTAGCTCAAGTAAAATGGCTGTACCTTCATTTACACATTATCCCCACATTTATACAATGGCCAAATCAAACCAATTTATACAAAATAAAAACCGACTGGATTTAAACTCCAACTGAATCTCAGTATTTGCAGAATACTGTTTCAGGGCCCTATATTCTTTGGTTCATCTACGCTTCTTCACTTCCCACTACCACAGAATTTATCAAGTCCAGGTCAGGTATGGATGCAATGAATGATTTTTATCCCTCTAACTATATACACTTTTCCATGTCACCTCTCTTTGGCCTGTAAATGGATTACCTGTTTCTGAAAAGTCCATTTCTTACTGACTAGCAACATTAGGAGTGCCTGCTACATATGGCATTGCAGATGTTCCCTCTCTTACTTGGAGTCCAAGGTAGCACCTCTTTACTATACAAAATCAACACATCATACTATAGCTCTCTGACACAAACAGATGTTATGGATAGCTGTCCTGCAAATCAGGAAATAAGTTGCGAGAAAGGGTCAAGAAGTTATCTTTCTAGCATCATTCTTTGTCACAGAAGGCAAAGACGGCCTTCATGACAAACCTGCTTCTGTAATGTCATAAAACCCAAAGTAAACACTAGTTTTCCCCCGTATGGAAACTGGATATAATTAGTTAAATCAACAGCTAAACTGAATTTCACCCGGACGGGCCATACCCCTGCTTTAGCATTAATAGGAATTTTTACAAGCAGGAGGGGAAGACTCCCATGAGTTGATATGGTCATACAAGGATACTTTTGGACACAAAATACATTACGCTAGGGAAGTGTAGACAACAAAATGAAAGTTTAGCACCATGCACTGAACAAGGTAGACCCTGAACTGTACCTGTAGACACAGCTTTGACTCCTAGGAGAATTCCGGATCGGTACCCTCCAGTTAGGCCCCAGCGTGGCATATAAACGACCCCTGTTTGTGAATTCAAATATCTGATGAAGGACATTCTCGTCTGAGATTTCAACAGTTAGGGTTTGGTAAACATGACAGAGAGAGTTCTCAATCTTTTCAGGCCCATGGGAAGAAAACCACAATAACTTTACAGTGCTTTATTTCAAAAAGTTTGTCATTTTTTCCTAATCAATAATTTGATAAAAATAACTACTGATTTAGGGCTTACGCATGTTAGGGATCATTCATAAATTTCTTAGCTGTGGAGTGCTCAGTGAGTGTACATGAAGACTAACTCACCTTTCAAGCCCTGATGGCAGCTCCTCACTAAATTCCGAGCTTTCACTGCTATCTAGAAAAGAGTAGTACAGAGAAGGAGTAAGAAAACCACCCAAGGGAAAATACAAAGCCAATGTATGTGGATCGCCAGAATAATCTTTATATAGTACCATGGAAATTGCTTGCTCAAATCATGTTTCAAAGTTGAAGTCTTTAGAGTTCATGGCAAAATCTAAAATTAGAAGAGGCTTACATAAGCCCTCTCCTTTATAATATCTCATTGATGAAAGAAGTCATTGTTCCTGCTGTGTTTAAATACCAGATATCTACATATTACTTTAACTTTCATTAAGCTGCTTTTCCTTCAAAAGCTGAGCACTTCAGGAATGCAAAATCCAGTTACTTTGTAAGACAATATTTCTACCACAACATCTTCTATTAAAGTTATCAGACAGGATATCATTATTTTCAACAAGCAAGCACACCTGTAAGAGGATACACCAGCTGTATGCTGCTGCTAGGAGCCATAACAAATCAATATGACTAATTTGTTCTTCTTTCCCTGGCACAGCGATTTAGCTCAGTTTTCATTTGCCTAGGACTGATCTTCTAATGCTCAGCATAACGCAGTGAAGTGTGCCTGTATTTTCCAAAGTTCAGAGATCATCTTGGTGTCAAACTGTTCTCCGTCAACTAACCTGCTATCCTTCACAGCCTATTTCCAATTCTAGAAATAGCTTGAGTCACTTAAAAGGCGATTTTCTCTTGCTTTGAACAGATTCTTAACTGCTTTGGTTTTATTGTAATAATTTTTTAATTAATTATAATACCATAATGTAATTGTCATCATCCTTTTGCAGAAGTTTATGTTTTTTAGAAGTCTCAAAGAATACAGCTAAACTATTCTCCCACCTTCTAAAACACATCATTAAAGTTTGCTTTATGAAAAGGTAGCTTTCAAAATACCCACTTTTCAGTAGCACTTCCCCCCCCCCCCCAGCTGCGGGCGCAAGCTGACAAACAGTTTGTGTCACATACAGAGCAAATACAAAGACAATCTTCCTTCACGCCACCTCCACCAACGCCATCAGTGACTGAGTAAAGCGGAGATAAAGCTGGCGAGGTGGCGGGGTACCAGCCCCGACCCTTCTGCTAGGCAGGGGGTGCGCCTGCGCACAGGCGGAGCTAACGCTCTTGCCAACTCCCTACGGGTGGGGAAGGGCGCTGACGGCGCGGGGAGCGGCGGCAGCCGGGGGGGGTCAGCGGGGGTCGGCAGCAGAGGGGGGTGGTCAGCGGAGGGGTCGGCAGCGGGGGGGGGTCAGCGGGGGTCGGCAGCAGAGGGGGGGGGTCAGCGGAGGGGTCGGGAGCGGGGGGGGGGGTCAGCGGGGGTCGGCAGGGGTCGGGAGCGGGGGGGGGGTCAGCGGAGGGGTCGGGAGCGGGAGGGGGGGTCAGCGGGGGTCGGCAGGGGTCGGGAGCGGGGGGGGGGTCAGCGGAGGGGTCGGGAGCGGGAGGGGGGGTCAGCGGAGGGGTCGGGAGCGGGGGGGGGGGGGGTCAGCGGAGGGGTCGGGAGCGGGGGTGGGGGGTCAGCGGAGGGGTCGGGAGCGGGGGGGGGGTGTCAGCGGAGGGGTCGGGAGCGGGGGGGGGTCAGCGGAGGGGTCGGGAGCGGGGGGCGCGGCGCTCGCGCACAGCACCTATGGAGAGGCCGTTGGCGAGGCGCGCGCTGGGCGCGGGGCCGCGCGCCGGGCTGTGCGACTCCAGGACGCTGTCGTCCAGCAGGTGGCGCGGCTTCTCCGTCGGGAAGGTGGCGCTCCTGCTCTCCGCCACGCTGAACTGACACATCATGCTGGAAAATCGGAGAAAAACGCAAACCCCGCTTATGTCCTCGCACAGCAACCCCTGGCTCCTGCCGGGCCTACTCAGACTTCGCCGTATCAGCAGGTTATCAAGGAGCAGGCACTTGAACGAGACTGCTCACACTTTCCCTCTGCTGCACATACGCTCCCTGACTACCCAGACAAGTTCCAGTTTTAGTGGTGGTCTTTGTAAGTAACAATTATTAAATTTCTGACGATGAGAAGTTCTTTGACTCCTCTCCATACAAAACCTGATCACCCTGTCTGAAGGCAAAGGTAGAAAAACAAAAAAAAACCAGACCCCAGCTAAGCCAATGCTTAGTGGTCCTTCACTAAACTGAACCAACACATCAACACTCCATGATCCTGGACAAGTCACATGAACTTCCTTTTCCCCGAACCCATTAATTGTGAAGTCTGGTAGATGCTGAAATCTAAACTGGGAGCAGGTGCTCCTGCTTAGCTGTATAAATGATAGAAGTATTTCTAATCCATATTACCCATATAAAACAGTGCAAAAGGTCACAACTTCCCTGAATGGTAAGGTGTGCCAGGCAGCTAGGAAGCTTCCTTAGTTGTATTAGCAAAATGTTTAAAAAACAAAAACAAATAAATCAGTTATGCACACCAGGAACCCACAGACCAAAATGGACACACAGCTTTCAAGTACTGCCAAGGTCTGGTCCTAGCAGAGAACAGTCAGCAAAAATAACGAAGTGTCAAGAGAAAGCCCACAGAATAGACAATAAAGCCTGAAGCCCTCTTGCAATACAAGAAATAGGAAGGACAAATACCAGAGCATTCTCAACTACCAGAGTGTTCTGCTGCTATCTTAAACCTTTGTGATGCATGAAATTGCCTGAGCATGAGACAGCCTGGAGTACTCACTTGTTTCCCAGGCTGTGACTCTTCCTATGCCTTGGTACAGGAGGTGTAGGTAGACTCGCTGCTACTGAGGCATCAGGACATGTAGGTCTCCTGCTGAATTTCATAATTGCTGACACATCAGATGGACCTAAAATACAGAAGTCATTTAACACTGAACTGATGCAAACCTCAGAAATTTCATGGGCTGGTGTGTTAAGCCACTGATTAAAATTAATTGTTACAGATAACCAAAGGCGCCACTTCTGAAGAACTGTTTCTTGAGCATTAGGGTTAGACCATCCATTCACGTTATGAATCCATCTCTATATTCTTGAACTGTCTGGAAGTAATTTTTAAAACAGCTTTGCACATACTTTTAACAATGAACTCCTACAAAAAGTCTTGGCACCCTTACAATAGCTGGATGTGCCAGAGTGTAATACGCGGAGCCATAAAGTCAGTGTGTACCTCGGGTGTGAGCAGGAATGCTCACACATGTTTTGCATTTTGTTCACAACTCCATGTTGTGAATAAACTGTAAACAATCTGCTCATACTGACTCAGAACTTAAGCATGTAAGAGAAAGCAGGGGCTTTTCATCCATCTAATGGCCAGACAGATGCATTACTTCTCAATCATCTATGAGCTCTAGAGATGGCTCACTGCAACTATTCTTCCTCTCGTTTTACAGCTTTTATGAGGCCTCATGGAAAACATGGACAAGCTGTTCTAGTTCCAGTTCCTTGATGCTGTTCGCAAGAGGCTGGCAGTGAACTTTGCAATACAGTGGTGAACAACGTGGCCTATCATCATCCTCAGTGAATCCAATGCTATTCTTGGCTTCAGAATAAACAGTTGAGATTTCACTTTTAAACATTCAGTTGTGGCATTGCTGCCTGTGATGGAAGTGGGAATAGTGGTCATGAAAGTGACTGTCTGCCCCGTATCTATGTCCAGACTTGGTACAGCTCAGGTAGCAGTGAAACACACTTCCCCTATAGTACAGGAACCACTTCTTGGAGGTGCCAGCTTAGCTTAGTCAGCTTCTGGCCTCTATCCTAAACCCACCTGTTAAGAGGTCGACAGAGACAGAAAGTTTGTGATGTGAAAAACCACATACAACTATCATCATAATCCTTAAAAAGGTGTCCGGCCTCAAATTAGTGATAGACATAGAAAAAAACCCCAGACAAAACCCCAACGTTCCAGGGTAGAGTTTGACAACAGGATGTGAAGGTACACTCATAACAAATGATTCTTAGAGTGTGGTTTGTCACTGTAACAGGTTTCCCGGGCAAACGGTCAAGGCACCAAGCCTGCCAGAGTACAAGCAGTGTCTGGACAACGCTCTCAGTAATATAATTTAGTTTCAGGCAGTCCTGCAAGGAGCCAGGAGTTGGACTCAATGATGCTTATGGGTTCCTTCCAATTTAAGATACTCTATGATTCTATCTGTTATATAGGCTACTCCATCTCTCCCCACGCACAGAAGTTATTCATCAATTTCTTCTGCCTTGAACCGAGGATTCATGAGACACAAGTAGAAACAGGAAAACCAGTAATGAATTTGTCCTAGTAAGAGGCAAAAAATAATACAAATAGATGCAAGATGCTTTACTGTCCATACCCACTCTGCAATATAGACTTATATCAAGTTGTATGAAATACAGGAATTAATTCCGAATTACTTGGATTCTTATTTCCCCATAGCCCAGACTCAGGAATTTCACTATGAGCTGGATCGTTACGATGAAGAATTTTAAAAGTTTTTCCATAGCAGTAAGGGGAAGACTCTCATCCACACAGTGTTATGCACATTTGAGCAAACTGTTCTCTATGCTGTTTAATTAACAATGAAAGGAGTCTGAAGACAAGCAGAAAGAGGAAACTGCTTCTAGCAAGAGAGGAAACGAATTCATTAGAGGAACCTTCAGTAATATCATTCATCAGATCATCAATTTAATGGGAGAACAAAGAGAAAAGTCTGCAATCCTGTTTTCTACCTTATCACTATAATAGGACAGCATTTTTGCCTGCCTATCTTTGCTACCATCACACAATTGAGAATTTGTGAAACATGACACCACTAGCATGAGTCACTGGCATACGTGGCTTCAGAGATGGTTTTATACTTAAAGGCCACAATGCAGTTTTAAAAAAAGCCACATTTTTAATCATTACTTGATCCATGGATTCAATCAGAACCATTCGCCTGGGATGCTGGAAGAGGGCTGAGTACAATGTTCTGCTGCATTTGCAATTAAAATTTTGTTGCATTTGGGCTGTAAGACGACATTGGAAGCTTCTTCCCTGAAGACAATAGGGTTCATCTTCCTCTTCTGACATAGAGGATAAGCACATGTTAGCATATAAAAAGTATGAATCTGAGCACAATCAAATGGTGACTTGTTTAGTGTAAAAACTGCTTGGATTCCTATTTCACCATTAGGTCTGAAAATCTTGTCTGTTGCATTACGAACAAGAACATATAGTACACTAAAGTATTTTACCACTATTTTTCATTATTAATTCTTAAAATTTATGCAGAGACAAACTAAATGCATTCATAAGTTTCAGAAATGATTACAAGTTCTTTTATTTTAAAATCTTCAGCCCTTCTGATGAACTAGGTTCACAAAAAGGAGTTCTCTCTACATGCTTTGTTTGCAGTGCTTTTCCATCAGGTATTTTTCAACTTGTGAATAGTAAAATAGTTAGGACTACTGAGGTGTTTACTACCTGCTCAAAAGCTTAAAATACATTTGATCTGAGACCCAGTATGAAGTTAGTGGCAGCTGAAAGAGATTTTTCTGAAAATTATGAGCGTGTATCAGCAAGAGTTTAGTCTGAAACTCGGCATAAACTTCAGCATTAGTATGGCCACTCTGAGGTCACCATCACACCTTGCAATGCATTAACTCACTACTTGTCCCTTAATCTGGCTGCAGGGTTGATTCAGTTTTCTATTGCTTCCTGTTGTGTCATTCAGTTCTTTCTCTCTGGTGCCAGTTCTAAATCCTGATTTACATTAAGTTATTTTAAGTGGATTACATTATAGTTCACTGAGAGCTACTGAAGCATTATGTTTAACAAACTGTTGAAACTACAGCTTGTGAAAGAGTAGCAATCTCAAGACACAGCCCTAAATGAGTATGGTGCAGTGCCTTTTCACACAGACACTATTACCTATGTCAAAATAACTATTACATTTGCTAATACATAAGAGTTTAAAGATTTAAGTTTCTCACCTCAGAGGAACACAGAGCTGAAAGCAGTAAGACTGTTCAACTAAACTGATTCTAAGACAATGTTCCAAAACTACACCAAAACTACACCAAAACTACATTTTGGTCTGCACCAAAACTACATTATCTAGAGAAAGAACCGTAAAATAACAAGTCTTGTGCTGACACAATCGAGCCATTACAAAATCGAAGTCAGCTGGATTTGACTCCAGGTATTTTAAAGTCTTTATAGGTTCAAATGTTACTGCTATCAAAACCTACAAAAACTAAGACAGGTTGTCTACCAACAAAAATACTTTGAGAGTTTTCATTCTACACTCTCTTCTTTTGAAAATTAGACTCCCATTTAGGAAGCATGGAGTGAAATTTGCACTAATATGAATACAACACAATAATATTTAAATATTGGTCATTATAAAGTGACTTTAGGAAGAGCTTTTATTACTTGGACAGCTTCAGAACTGAAAAAGTTTGTTACAAAAAACCCCTCTGAAACAAATGCTGTAATATGTCTAAAAGGACTGCATATCTCAAATTGAAAATAAGATTACAGAATCAGACTTCAGTTCAGGTAAAATACTGCCTGGCTAATGTGAGATGTGTCAAGGGTGACAGCATTTGTGGAAATCAGTATAGGAATATTACAACTTAAGCCAACAGTCCCAGCCTGGCTTCCTTGCTATTACACATAGCAATCACAATTGCTTTCATCAGTCCTGTGAAAGGAGGTAATAGGCTTATTCGCATTCATAGTTGGGTGTCTTTAGCGAAGATCCTGATGACAGAAAACAGAATGCTTTGTGCGATAAGAAGACAGAAATATCAGCTGTGTTGTTATTACTCTTATCTGGAGTGGCCATTTTCTGTGTAGTTCTGCATCTTCCACATCTCTAAGGCAAGAGAAAGAAATATATACAGTTTGGCTCTGTTAACCCTGTGCTAAGGTAGAAAGAATCTGAGCTTAAAAACCTCTACAAAGTCTTTCTATCTGCTCTGCTGCCAAATTTCTGTGAAGAACTGTGAAGTTCACAGTTCTTGTTAGACAGGACCTGTGTTGCAGGGTACACTCAGTTCAGCAAGAAGTCTCGGGTGCAGAGGGTGTCAACATGAGTTAAGGGACACGGGAGATGACCTAATTTCTGTAAAGGGGTAAGAGATAAGAGAGCCTGTACCAAGAAGGATGCCAAAGAGGGTAAGTGGTGAGATACTGATGAAAACTGCACAGACCAAGGGATGTTTATGGACATACCAGACTGCTGAGCAATTAGCTGGGGAAGATATGCCTGATACTGCTGATAACAAAATCCCAATATTTAAATTCATTTGAGATTGAGTTATTTTGCCCCTTTTTTTCCAATAAGTGAAGTCATCTGCTACTGCTAACTCTTCTCTTTACTCTCCTGGCTCCACTCCTAGTGCATACTGTTACCATGATGGCTATTCTGTTATTTTGCCTTTCATGGAGACAAAGCACTCTTAGTAGGATTTTCCAAGTCAGTTGGCATGAACTAGGGTTAGTTTGGTTTTCATTATTTCTCAGCATCATTTTCAAGACTATGCTGACATGCACAAAAATAATATATAAAAATATTAAAACATTATTAAAAATTTGTTTGTGTTAGGGAACGTGAGACAACTTCATCAGAGTGAGCTGAGTGCTGTTCAGAGATCTGTGGCAAGAACATTTGGAAAAGTTTACACATATCCCAAAGGATCTCACTGTTTTTTCCTTTGCATAATTTTTCCATGAATAATCCTTCAAATGTTATAAATGAATGTTACTTTTGCAATCCTTCAGTAGAACATGTGAACGTTTACAGTCTCCAGAGTTTTTAAAAAAAGCAACAGGGTGAAGGAGTTACAGTTCACAATTTTTCCCTATTAAAAATCTATCAATAAACCAATACTGGGCATCCAAACAGAAAACTGAAAACGATTTGCATATTATATAATGAAAAACTGAGTGATTTTTCAGGAAGGCAAAACAGTCTCAACTATTTACTATTTTTTGGTGAGCAGCTAAGAAGTAAAACTGATACTTACCAGCTCTGTTTCTGAAACTTAATAAAGACATTCCAAGCCACAGAGTCTCTAGTTAAATCTTCGCTGTAAATTTTTACTGTTTTGTTGCCATTGTAACCAAAGTCAGTGGGTGATAATTAAAACTTTCAAGTAGAAAGACTTACTTGCAAAACACGCAATAAGGAACTTAAGAATAATTTTGTTCACAGAATCTAGAATGATGGCTATTGTAAAAGCACAGTTGTAAATTTCAGAATTTTGCTTTACAATTCAACTAAAGCCTTTTAATGCATACAACATGCAAGAGACATGTATGTTATGTCTGTTTCTCAGACAAGTGCAAACTAAGAACAAACATCAGAATCTTCGACTACACCTCTCTATGCTCTTCCAAGCCCCACAAAAACCCCAGCTCCGCCCCCCCCCAAAAAAAAGTGTGTTTTGGTCAGAAAAGTAAGTGTGCCTGCTCTCTTTGGAAACAGTCAGCAAAGGCCTGTTGCTGCAGAGGTCAGGAAGATGATTTTGATTATTGAATGAAAGTATTATTTTCTTCAAAAGTACTATGAACTATTTCTAATACCATGCTCTGGGAGGAAACAGAACATAAAT